ATATAATTATATATATATATATACTTGTTCATTAGTATATAGCAATAGCTCAAAAACCAGCCTTCGACACGGCTAAGGCCACGGGCAGCTGCTAGCCGCACGGGCGGAGAACGGTCCTGGTCGGATCAAGCGCATCAGGCTCGAAGCAAGTATGGTTCAGGGTCTTCGGGGGCAGGTTGTGGAATTAGGAACTGAGTTGGGCTTTAGCATTTGGAGGGGTTGTGCGCCTTACGCAGCATGAAGGCTTACCATACATGTGGTCCAAAAAGAAAGAATGTCAGTAACAAGAAAGAGTAAGGATAATACTAATATTAGTAGCAATCCTAATAGCAATGATAAAAACAATATAGTACAAATAACACTGAGAATCATAAAACTAATGACAGGAGTCATAAAGAGAAGAATGATAATAATGACAGTACTAATTGTAAGTTGTCCTGAGAAAACAGAGGAGGAGAGCGCCTTGGCAAGGTCTAGCAGTGCGAGGCCAGCAGCTTCGGTGAGGTGCCTGCCAAGGACCTCCAGATTTGAGCGGCACCGCAACTAAAAGGAGCGCTGATTCTTATTGTCATTAGCATTTTTTGCAATTGCTATTGTTACTGTTACTGTTACTGTATGTTATTGCTGTTGCCGCCATTATCATTATTAGCAGTAGGTTCTGATATTATCAGCATTAGCGGCAGGTTCTGACGGGCAAAGAGGCAGCACCCTAGAGCTAAGCGCATACGTGGCATACATGATGGACCAGCTAAGCGTGACGATCCCGAATCCGGCTCCCACCTGCGCGCTGGGGTCGCCCAGAGGAGGAAGCCTTGCGGACCGACTAGGGTTTAGGGTTTAGGGTTTAGGGTTTAGGGTTTAGGGTTTAGGGTTTAGGGTTTAGGGTTTAGCATAAAAGTGCAGCCTGTGACTTCCGGGGGGTACTACTGGAATGGTTCTGCTCAAGTCGCCAGCAACGACTGCCGACAACGACCACAACCACACCACGACCACCACCACAACCACCGCCGCCACCACCACAGCCAGCATGAGGACAACTGCAAAAACACTATGCTGACTACTGGTGTATTGCCTGCCATAGGCATGGGAAACAGCATCATTAAGCGTAATCATCAATCTTAGTTGGCACGCAATATAAACATACATGCACATAACTCTAGAGGTGCACCTGTTTGTGCTTACCCATGTGTTTATACATCCACATATCCACATGTCAATATAGATACATCTGCATACGGATCTATAGTTTTATCAACAGGACTCCTGTTGCTGTCTCATCAGCACGATTCTGAACCCCTGAGACCTAAACCCTAAACCCTAAACCCTAAATCTGAAACCCTAACCTGCACCAACATTCTGGGAACCCGACAAGCGCCACAGGAGGCAGGCTGCCCGGCAGCGGGCGGCTCGATCCCGAAGCGCCTGGGCCTCCCGGAGCCAGCAGTTCACCTCCCCCCGCTAGTTTAGGGTTTAGGGTTTAGGGAGTCTTCTGTCGGCGTTCGCGGCTCTTTCCTAGTATTTCCTGGCTTTTCCCGAGGCAAAGGCTTCAGGAGACTGTTCCGAGTTCAAATCTCTCTTCAAGGTTTCCTTCGAGTAACAAGCCCTAAACCCTAAACCCTAAACCCTATCCCTCAGCGGAGCCTCGCTTCCGAGCCGCTGTACAAGCCAGGACAAGAGCCGGCCGGGAGTCTTCTCTTCGGCTTCCGCCTCTGCAGCCACGACGCGGTGGAAAAACAAAAGAAGGACACTATAGTTATGTATTCTACGAGTTATATATTATGGAAGTGATATTCCACATGCACTGCACCTCCAGAGCCACCGTGGCGAGCAGATCGAGGCAGCCATCGACCAGCAAGAAGCTTGAACGGCAGTCACCACCGCAGAGCATGGCCTAGAGGGCATGGGCAGCACAGAGTGCATCTCGTCTCGACAAAATTTGTGGACACTGCGGGGCAAGAGATGGAGGTTTCCGAAAATAGGGGACCCTAATATAGCACCCTAAATAGTAGGATCCAAATTATGAGGACCCCAAAATAAGGTGCCCCTATTTTCGGAAACTCCCAGATGTACGCCAGCCACCTCCGCACAGTTCTCCAGGGCCTTTGCCATCCTCAGCAGGCTTCGACGGACACGCCCAAAGCATCCAAACTGCGCCATGGACTTTACTATAGGGTTTAGGGTTTAGGGTTTAGGGTTAAAGGGTTATAGTAGCTCCGATCCAACCACTTTGATAAAGTTTGATACACTTTGGGCAAAGAGAGGTCTGCCGCCCCAGTCCAGGTCCAGGTGGCTGAGCATCTCCCTGCAGCTCGCGCAGAGCGCGGAGGCGTGCCAAGCAGGCCGAGGGGTCTGCGCCGGCGGTGCCCTCGCAGCACACATTCGCTCGAGCTCCCTCCGAGTGGGGAAGGACTGAGATCATACATCCCACCTCGAAATGGCTGAAGATCTGGTAAGCATCCTGTGCACCTTACACTTCGCGCTGAGTTCGAAAGCGCATCCGAACCCCTGTCCTGGTCATGACAAAATGAAGCCGGGGCGCACTCCCCTACCACGTTGGTCGCAAGCTGCACCTCGGCGGCTTTCGCCTTCGCCTTTGGCTTGTCGACTGCAGGTTTTCCCGCGTTCGCTTGCAGCGCTCGGTGCCCTGGACACTGCTTTCCCTTGACCCGTCTTGGTGGCTCTGCGCACGAGACCAGCGTGGGCTTCTTGACGTGCCGCTTCAGTGGTGTGGGTGGCCGACGGTTCATGATCAGCTGCGACAAGGTGCCTCGTGCCCGTTGTGGCGTGCTTTCAACACGAGACGAGGGTTGAGCCTGATCAGAGACCTTGCGACCAAAGCTGGTTTGGCGCTTCTTCGCCACGAATGCCAGAAACCTCCCTTTCCTGGCGGATCGCGGCACGCTCCGAGTGGCGCAATCCTCATGGCCTTCAGTGGACTTCCTCACTCTTCTGGGTGTCACCGGCTCGGGCATTTGCATCTCGGGCATCGGGTGAACCTCCTCCACGCGGCACTCAAGGCAAGGAGCACCCTTCTACTTACGAGGCACTAAGGCACTCAGGCCAAGGTGTGCTTCGCATGTGGATTAAGCTGTTTCAGCATGATGCAGCTGCTCACAACTTGCTCACACTCGCAGACCTGCCTAGATTCCTTTCACAAACAGTGAACAGTGAGTCCTTTTCCCTAAACTTGCCGGTAGTCTGGCCTCCGCCTTCTTCTCCTCCTCATCTGCCTTGCGCTTGGCAGCTTCTTCGGCCCGGGCGGCTACGGCCTTCTCAGCCTCCTTCTTTTTGGCCTCCTGTCGTTTGGCCTCTTGCTTCTGTTTCTTCTCTTCCTGCGCCTCCTTCTGCGCCTCCTCTGCATGAGCCTTCTCGGCTTCCTTCTTCGCCTCCACCAGCTTCCTGGCCTCCGCCTCCGCCGCCTTTCTCTCCTGTTCTGCTTGTCGCTTGGCCTCCGGCGGCACTCACAGAAACGCTCTGTGGCGTGGCAGCTTGCGGCATCAGGCTCACCAGACACTGCACACATGCCTGAAGCCCAAGATTTTCGCTCACAAATCGCAGTCACACTGCAGTGGGTGCAAACCAGGTTTTGCCGAGGGTTTGGTTGGGAGGGCCAGATGGCGTGCTAACAACAAGACCTCCTGCCTCCATCCTTGACCCCCGTGTCTACCTGCTGGAGAGTCTGAGCAAGCAGCTATCACTGAGTCGCTTAGTCACAGCTTTCAGGCCATTTCAGGCCTAGTTAGGCATGCAGCGGAGGGAGTGGAAGATCTACGAAACAGTAGTTTCTGAACTTAAACTTCACCACCACACAACGTCGGTAGGCATGAAAGCGCAGACGGCACAACACTTGCATTCGACAGGATTTACGGCCTACCTTATCCTCCCTCTTGACTTTTCTCTCCAACAAAACCAAACAGGGAAAACCAAAAAGAGGAAAGTGCCTTTGTCGCTCCCCAATCCTCGCTGCCATGGTGCGAGTAGGCGCGCTTGAACTTCGAGCAACCCAACGCGGGTCGAAATCTCCCCGCAAACGGAAAACTCTAAAAACCCCAAGCAGCGCGCTCCTTGCATTGCTTCTGTTGTGTTTTTCTTGTCGTCTTCAAAGCCGTCTTTCGAGGTAAACCTTCGTCCTGGAGTTCGCTTTCCTGTTTATCCTTCGGCAGCTGGGTTTCGACCTCTTGTCCTGTCTTCTCCACGGATTCTGGATAGACGTCTTCGCTTGCGATGTGTTCCTCATGGGCTTCTTGCTGATCAGCCTCCCTGTCCACTGTGCTCTCGTCAACCAAATCCTCGGGATCCGCGTCTCCAACTTCCTCGACCACATCCGCTTTCTCCTCCTCCTTCTTCTCCTGCTCCTCTGCCTCTTCCAATGCGCACTCCTCCTCTGCCCGGTCCTCCTCCTGCTCCTCCGGCTCCTCCGGCTCCTCCGGCTCCTCCTGCTCCTCCTCATCCTCGCCTTCCTCAGTATTCTGCCCGACCTCATCAACCTCTTCGGCTTCATCGGCTGTGGAGTTCTCTAACTCGAAGGCCGTCGCAGGCGCCACCTGACAGGATGCGAACACTCTGTGGGTTTGGGGTTCGCGTTCAATACGACTAGTGACTAGGGGAAAGGCTGCCTGAACTCCAGGGAAAAGAGACGAGACAGCAGACTCCTCAAGAGAAGCTCCCAAAACCTTGAACCCTAAATCCCAACAAGTTAACGAGGTGATGCGGGAAGCCGGGACGCTCGAGGAGCCCCGAACAGAGAAGATGAGAAGCTAGGGCGTCAAACCTCCTTCCCCCCTTCGGGATTTAACCATCTGAGAGCGCAGAGTCGCTTTCTTCCTGCAAGTGTTCCATCCACTTGAACTGCCACATTTAATTTTTCCCGCAAGAGACGAGTACGGTTGAGATTTGAAATTTAACTGACCTCTGAACCTTGCCTCTTCCTCTCCTGCTTCCTCGTACTCGTGGCTGGACAAGTCTTCCTGCTCCTCGACATCTGTCTCGTCTTCCTCGATTTGGGTTGCCTCCGGCTCCTCCATGTTGTAATGAGGCAGCTTGAGAGGGGCGCAGGAGGGAGGGAGGCAGGGAAGGAAGGAGGGAGGGAGCGAGAGAGAGAGAGAGAGCGGGTGAGTGGAATGCAAAAGGGTGAGAAATACAAAAGGGTGAGACAGGAAGTGGACACAACACGATTGGAAGCAGCAGCGAGCATTGCGAAGCTGAGTGATTGGAAACGGAATTTCATGATCATCCGACTGGCAGAAGCTGCATGCTTTAGTAAAACCCCGCAGAAATCCTCACTTCATGTCCACGTTTCACAATGCAGTACACAACGCAAAGACGAAAAGCTATACTTATTTCTAAGAGCAACGGGCATAGTCGTGAGCATCGTCGCCGCATGGTACTGGCATCAAAAGCAATGATAGAAATAGTAGCGAAGATAACAGTATCAAGAAGCTTGGACAGGCACATGGCCATGGTGACATCAACCGTAACTAAGAAAACAGCCATGGCTCCTGATACTCCGTAACTATACGGCACAAACTTACAAGATACTTGATTCAAAATGTTGGAGTACTTTCTTAGCAATCAAAACTGACCAGAATGACGCCACTAAGGAAAAGACCACGGCCCGGCTCCAAAGGTCCTCCAGCTGGGTCGGAGCCTCGAAAGGCTCTGGAGCCGGCATCTCCTCAGGGGATACCCCGTGGCTTTGCGCACCAGAAAACTCATGCCAAAGCAGCGGAAATGAACTATGGCTGCAAGCAGACTGGCTGGCGAGCAGATAGGAGAATGACGGTCGGAGGTGCACGCACCTTGATAAGACCACTGCTCGTAGTCTTTGCAGCAGTCTCGCTGACCGAAGAACAAACAATCGCAAGCGCCGTGATGCTCGTATCGCTGCGGATGCGTGGTATTTTGCAAATCTCGCTAGTGTTGCTGCTGTCACATCACTGCGACTTTCCTCGGAAATGCACAGCTTGACAATGGAAGTCCAAAAACCCAACAAAATGCGAAAGTCGAAAAACCATTGAAACCTGCAGCCCTGCAACCGTAGGCTTACACCAAACGTCTGACTGATGTCTCCATGGCAAGGCTCGTCCATGACTGCCATGGCAGTGGCAGGTGCTGTCAAATCCACCTCGACAGCCACGAGTGCAACCATACCACGGCTCCGGAAAGCATAATGCTATGTTGGTATTGTGGGTGTTTCTGGGTAGCACTAGATATGAGCCGCATGCCCTGTTTCATCGACATATATATATATATATATATGTATATATGGTCTTCGTCGCCTCTCGGGTCGTGTCCCGTCAACCCCCCGTTAACATTCAAACTAAGTGCACGAAGCAAGCTTCCAAGATGGGAAACTTTGCGACGCCCTTGCATGAGGAGCTTCCCCAGCTTATACGGTGGTCCCCCTTTGGACTTTGCATCTCAGAGTGGATCCTGGGTAGCAACATGGCTTCCGCATTCGTGGCTGGGTGACTGGCGGCTGGCATCTGCTGTGAAGCTGACATCTCGCTGAACCTGGTTTTGCAAGTGAGTCAGCGAATCACAGTCCACCGTTTTGGCTCGATATTGCCTCCCAGCAGGGAAGAAAAGCTAAGACTTACTTGGATCATCCCGGACCTGCCGGATTAACGAAATGCTGCGCAATCTCCCTTGATGTGAATGTGAATCCTGAAATCCTGCAAACTCAAGAAGTCGCCGAAAGACAGCCCCTGCAGGTACACTAAGACAACAAACGCAACGGCAGTAGTAGTAGTAGTAGTAGTAGTAGTAGCAGCAGTAGTAGTAGTGGTACGGTTGATGATATGAATCCTGCACTACCCATAATAAGGAACATACCATAATTCCCATAGTCTAGGGTCCTTGGTAATGCAGGATTTGTACTCTATCAACAGTAGTAGTAGTAGTAGTAGTAGTAGTAGTAGTAGTAGTTGTAGTTGTAGTTGTTGTTGTTGTTATAGTAGCTATAACTGCAATAGTAGCAATACTAGCAATGGTAGGAATGGTAGCAGTACTAGGATGGACGCAGTGGGCACGTTTGCCCCGAAGTTTGTGGTGCAGACGGTACGTTTCAAGAATGTTGTTGCTCGCATGGTGATTGTTCAATTTCATCACGTGTATCAGGAACCTACGAAAACCCTGGCAGGCACACGGACAGTATTATGGACGAAAGGTGTTACGATGTGATACTGTTGTAACCGGTTTGGAAGGGTCGATTCGGGGAGTCGAACTTTGGAATTCGTAGTTTCGAAATGTGAGTGCTTCGAGCAACTGCGCCGAACGGAAAGCCTCATTTTGCATGTGCGCTGCCGTCACTCTGCCAGGCCGACCCAGGACATGTCCGTCCAGGCTATGGCGGGAGAGACTTTGTCTTCACAGAACACTGTGGGACATGGATGCTCTGTTCTCCGAACGTGGACGTTATTATGGTTGGGACATGGAGGCTCTGTTCTCCGAACGCACTAGAACATGGACATCATTATGGTTACTGCGCTCCGTCCACGAATCACAGATGTGACTGCTCCAGCGCAGAACCAGTTCGCCGGCAGCATCCATTGCAAGAGAAGCTCGAGTGCCTGCGGCCCCTGAAGCCCAAGGTGACGGGCTGAAGGACAAGACTTCAAGATTGAGGGTTTAGGCTGTAGTGTTACGGGTTTGAGGAGCTTGGCTTGATCAGCCTTGTCAACATGAGGCATCATCATCATGGTCATCATCATGTCATGATCACCATCCGTGCGAGAAGCTGGGCAGCAGCATCGTCATGACGGAAAAATCCGGGGCAAGTTTGTCATACTTGTCGCCGTCGTTCCAGTCAGCCCTGTGGTGAATCGAAAAGCAAAAGCACTGAATCGCCAGAAGAACGACCCGCATCTTCGCCTCATGCAAGAAATTGGGGAATTGCGGCCCAAAACAACGAAGAGGAATCAAGATTCATGTCGTCATGAAAGACGAATTGGAAGAGGAGGACGAGGTGCAGGAGGAGGCGGAGGAGCAGGAGCAGGAGAAGGAGCAGGAGCAGGAGCAGGACCAGCAGCAGCAGCAGGAGCAGCAGGAGCAGGGGCGACAGAAAGAGAAACCTGGTGGAGGCGACTGCAGCGGCAAGGAAGCGAAGATTTGTGCTTGATATTCAGGAGCGTTTTGTTGTCGAACTTATGTGCCGAAGAGCCGAACGCAGTGCAAATGGCAAGAGGACTCGTTGCCGTAGCCCGTAGCCCTAAGCTTTCCTGGATCCCACAGTGCTGCCCAAGTAACTCCAACTCCACCGCCGGCGCCAGCTTCTTTTCAGAAGGCTTCAGCCTTCAATCGCCATGCGCACACCGAGGGTCTGGGGCTGCTCGGGCTAGGAGTAGGCAGTCGTTGGGCAAGTAGCACAGGCAAGGCGACAAGGGTGCAGTTGCATTATCAGACCTGCAGGTTTCACTTTCAAAATCTCGGCTGCGTTTCAGCGGTTGCTTGAAACCGAGATGCTCCTAGCATCAAAAAAAAGCATGTCCGGGCTGGAACTTACGTGGAAGACTAGTAACACAGGCATCACCATCGTCATCGTCATCATCATCGCTACCGTCATCAAAAACATGACGGAAACAGATCTCGGGACAGTAAGAAGAGAAGCATTGAGGCCCAGCAGATTCACCCTCGCCAACAGACATCATCAGCCATGCTTCAAAGCGACAGTGAGGCAGTGGCAATGAACATGGCGAGGATAGTAAAGGTAGTGGCTGTGACAACTACGACGGTAGCAGCGATGTCAGCTTTCGCAGCTATAGCAGATGTAAAAAATCTATGAGTCAAGAATTCAATGTGCAAATACATATATATATATATATATAATACATACATAGATAGTATTAACTCGGAGGCGGCGTATAATCAACAGTGGATACCTCATGGTCGGACTCCTGGCCTGAATCATACATAGACATACCGGTCGCCATGCAAGAGTGGTTCTCAACCCAGTATAGATAAGAAAGTTCTTCTGTTCTTGAAGCGAGAGACGAAGAATGGCAACATCTCATATTCAAGGTAACCTCTGGCAGGCCTTTTCGTGTCGGCTCCAGGATCTTCAGAGACTTCCAGCCTCGGCCAAGAGCGATGCGCGAAACAGTCGTCATCAGAGTTGTCGTTGTACTGGCAGGTAGCAGTGACAGTAGCAGTTGCAACGCCAGCAGCTGCAGCGGTAGTAGTAGCAGCAGCAGGAGGAGTAGTGTTAGTGGTTGTTGTAGCCGCAGTGGAAGTAGCAGTAGCAGTAGCAGTGGTAGTAGTAGTAGTAGTAGTAGTAGTAGTAGTAGTCGTGGTGGTGGTGGTGGTGGTAGTCGT